CTTGCAGTTTTGATCATAATGGTCCGAGATGTCCCTATTCTCTTTGTTTTGTAGGAGTATGCAACCGTGACATTAGCGAGCCGTCGCAATTATTGCATCACATTGAGACAGGTACATCAATTCATCATTTTTAATGGTCCGTGTTTGGTGTGCTGCCAGGAGAGCTAATGTTGACCTTTCGCCAAAGGGGAGGGGGAGGAGCGCAGTTGGCCACAGCAATAAATTAGGCATTTATCAAAATAAGGCGGGATCAGTCAGCTGAGAAACAAAACTTCAGGTAGGAATTAGGTTATTGGGCCATCAGCCCCCTCCCCTAGTCACTTAGAAAGTTTGACGCCCCTGGGAGATCAAGATAAGTGAGGCTGTCAGTGGCATAGGTCATTTGATCAGAACTTAGCTCGAGTGGAAGAGTCTGCAATGTGCGTGCGAGACCATCATGGCAACCATGGGTGTAACCCCTGACAGGTGGGCAGGGGTGGGAGAGAGACAGCACTCAGCTATACGGACCTAGCACCCGGGGGCCGATCCAGAGGGGGGCACGGGGCCACGCCCCCCCCCCCTCTCCCTTGGGCTCCGAAGGGGCCCCATGGCCGGCCGAACAGGTGCAGTTTTTGAAATACAAAGCGCAACAAAACTGGGCATCTCTGGACTTTGAGGCGACCAAGAACAATTGTGAGCAAAAGTGCAGGGGCTATTAGAAGTTGAAAAAATCATTCAATGATTGGAAAAGTTGTTAACTGGAAATTTCAAGCCTTATTACACTGTCTAGAGGCCCCATACTGTTTGCGGGGCTTAAACGCCCACATACAGGATCATCCCGATCGTTAAGGAGCGTTCCACGTTTTCCTTTATCTCTTTGCATTTGCTCGGAAGGCCCTGCGCTGTTGTTGGAACCCTTCCTCTTAGCGTGCCTGGGCACTCTTGTCAATCATTGGCCCTTGCACGGATTCTTTCCTTCCGCCAGAAAGGCTCCTGGGCACTTCTTTTCTGAATGGGAGGGGGGAGGGGTTACGCTCTTGTGGGGTCTGTTTGATAGCCTGCTCGGGCACATTCGATAGTTCGGGGCCCTCTACGTTGGGGCTTGGGCACGTGTTACTTGAATGCGGCCCTACGCACTTGTCGGGCGCCCCTTCTGTTTGCCACCTCGGCCATGTTGGATTGCCCGGGGGGCCCCGCACATTGTTTCTTGGTGTTTGAATTTAGGGCCCTCTTCTCCTATCGGGTCATCTGATAACCTGTTCGGCTAGACTCCATCTTTGGGGAGCCGTCCGCACCGGGTTTTGGGTACTTCTTATTCGAATGGAGGACCTTACGCTCCCGTCGGAACCCCTTCTTATAAAATCATCGGGCCCATTCGATAATGGGGGACCTCTACATCTGGTTTTGGATACTTCCTTTTGAACGGAGGGCCTTCTGCCCTTTTCAGGGCCCCATCTGTCAACCTACCCCGGTGCAGTCGATTATTCGGGGCCCTCTATATCGTGTTGTGAGTATTTAATATTTGATGTTAACCTGCTCTGACGCACTGGATCGTTCGGGGATCCTCTGCATTAGATCCTGAATACTTACTATTTGAATGGAGGGCCGTACGCTCTTTGTGGGAATCTTATCTGTTAACCTGTTCTGACACACTCGATCATTCAGGAGCCCTCTACATCGGGTCTTGTGTACTTCCTTTTCAATGGAGGGCCCTACGCTCTTGTCGAGGCCCCATCTGTTAACCTGCTCGGGCCCACTCGAATATCTGGGGGCGCTCCACATCGTGTCTTGGGTAATTCCCATCTCAATGGAGGGCCCTACGCACTTGTTGGGACCCTACCTGTCCACCGCTTCGACCACACTGGATTGTTTGGGGGCGTTATATATTGGGTCCTGGTATTCTAATTTAGGGCCCTACACTCCTGTTTGGCCCACCTGATAATCTGCTCGGGTATACTCTATCTTTCGGGGGCCCGCCGCACTGGGTTTTGGATACTTCTTATTTCAATGGAGGGCCCTACGCTCTTGTCGGGCCCCTTCTGATAAGCTGCGCGGGCATATGCCATCATTCTGGGGCCATTTACATAGGGTCTTCGGTGCTTTCCATTCGAATGGAGGACACTACGCTCTTGTTGCGAGCCCTATTTGTTAGCCTGCTCGGGCACACTCGATCATTCGGCGGCCCTCTTCATTGGGTCTTGGGTACTTCCTATTTGAACGGAGGGTCCTACGCTCTTGACGGGAGCCTTGTATGCTACCTGCTCTGACGCACTGGATCGTTCGGGGATCCTCTGTATTATATCTTGAATCTTATATATCGATGACGGGGGCCCGATATGTTAACCTGCGTGGGCGCGCTCGACCGTTCAGAGCCGTCCTTTTTGCGTCGTGAGTATTTCTTATTTAAATGGATGGCCCCATGTTCTTGGCGGGCCACAACCAGTCAGCTGCTCGGGCCGGGGGCTGATGCAGAAGGTCGGGGGGGGGGGGGAGGCACGGGACCATGCCCCATGGACCATGCCGAAGGTGACCTAAAGGCTCCAAAGGGGCCCATAACCGGCCGGACGGACGCAGTTTTCTTCCACAAAAACACAACAAAATTGGATGCCTTTGGGGCTACGGGCGACCAAGAGCCATGGTTAGCAAGACTAAAGAGTTCATAAGCAAGCAAAGTTTATTCTTCGCTGATTGAGGAAGTGTTGCTTGGGATAAATTTAGGACCTCATTGCGCTATCTAGAGGCATCACGCTGTTGGTTGCCTGGCCCTATACGTCCCCTTGCCTGGCCAATCTGATCGCAAAGGAGCTTTCCACGCTGCCCTTGATCTTTTTGCATTTTCTCATAGGGCCCAATGTGCTGTTGGGACGCTATCTGATCCTGAGCCTGAGCCTGAGCACTGTCAACCGATCAGGTTATCCCCATTCACCCGAAAGGCCCCATACACTTTTTCCGGGGCCCCATATGCCAGGGCACACTCTCAGGGGGCCGTCATATAAGTCTCGGATTCTTTCTACTTGCTTGGAGGACCTTGTGCTGTTGCTAGGGCTCTTATAAGGTAAGGCACGGAGACACTCGATGCTCAGGGGCCCTCTACTTTGATCAAGAGCTCTCTCCCTTTGCTCTCATTTGCAAAAGACTCTTCATTCCTATCGAGGCTCGTGCTGTTAACCTGCCCGTGCACGCTTGATCGCACCGGGGTATTAATTTATGGTCTTGGATATTTCCCATTTGCTGAGAGGGTCCTGTGCTATGGCCGGGGCCTTATATATCAGTCTGCCGAAGCACTACTAATCATTTAGAGGCCCACCACGTTGGTGTTGGGTTCTTTTTGCTTGCTCTGAAAACCCTACACCCTTTGACGGGAGCCACTTCGTTGGCCTTCTGCGGCACCCATGATCGCTCATGTTCCGTCCCTATTGGCCTTGGTGCCTTCGTCTGAGAGCAGCAGTCGAATATGCGCCGATGAATTTTTACGCGCTATTGCCGCACGTAGACATGCGCAGACGTCGTATGTGTCATTTAAATTGGCTATTGAGTGCGTGACACTCATTATACTAGTGCATCACGTTCTTAAAATATTTTGAACGCAAGGATATGTTGTGCTACTTAATAACAAAGGAAATATTCTGCATTAGTCATCAGCCATCAGCTCATAAGATCGCACAGCCGGCTAGTCGTAAATGCATAAGCCAGCAATTAAGTCCATGCTTGGTTTAAATGGCTGTTAGCAGCCAACACAAGTTTGTTTTCCCGTTGCTCCGAAACACTGAGCCTCAAAATTACAGCATTTAAAATGACCTGTAGAATATGAGCGAGCTCTATGTGTTTGAATGCGAGCATGCCTAGCTTTATAAGGTTGTGCAGAGTAAGATGGGTTTCCGTATTTACTAGATAAATGAAAAAGTAAATACATAATATATACGACGTAGCACTAGCCTTGAAAGGTAGCAACCGGAAGGCAATTTTTTTTTTATGAGGGGGACCCCAAACTCTAGGGTGTCACGATGTTGCGTGCCCCCCTTAACGTGCCCCCCCCCCATACATAGATACATATATACGTATATCTTACAAACGACGTAGCACCTGCCTTAAAACGTAACGACCGAAATGCATTGATTTTTTGGAGGGGGACCCCAAACTCCGGGGGGCCCCGATGTTGAGTGCCCTCTCTCCCTTGACGAAATCCTGGATCCGTCTCTGCTTGCACCAGTGGGCGGACCCGCCGCTTCGAAACACTTATTAACGTCGACATCTATCGCATACTGCTATCACCACTGGTGGCCATAACGACGACCAGATGTCGCTAACAATGCAATATGCGCCTGACTCGGAGCCAATGGAGAGGCTGAGGGTCCATTGCCTGACAGATCGAAATGATCGCGTGAAAAGGTCAGTTTTCGATTGTCCAGCGGTCAAATGTTTATGTCTGTGCGTACTGGACATGATGATGTTGCGTGATCTCAGTAATGATCCTTCCAGGTTTACTTTGGCATGTGTCCCGGCGGTGTTTTATGCATTGCTTGAATGGAATGTTCCACATTTAAGATATTGAGATAAGCATCAAATATGACGGGAAAAGCTTACATGTAACTATTGGTGAGCGTTCAAGCTTCAAAACCCACCCTGCGTAGCAAAATTTCAAAGTTGGTAAAAATGCGCCCCGTTACGTCATTGTTTGATGGCGTCATGGAATGGTTTTGTGACGACAGCAATACCTGACAGCATCTGGCAGCCAGACGCTTGAAAGGCACGAGCATACATTTCTAAGTAAATGATCACATATCATGAGCATGTGAAAGCACTTTAAGGTGATAGTAATTGCATCACATTCTTTGACAACCTGACACCAGGGCTGAACATTGTGTGCTCAAGCGTATTCAAGCAAATTGCATACAGAAATCATGGCTGAATTATTCTTAACCAAGCCATCCTAACAACACGCAAACACAACTGACTAGAATCCTTGCAGTGGAAGTTCAGGTGTCAACGCCACACAATAACCCATCGCATGTGTTACCTACCTCCGCGGATCGCCAACAACTGTGAGGGCCTGAGGTATTGTAGGATGAGGTCTTGCGTCTTCGTCGGCAGCTGTTCAAAGTTGGTACATGGCGTTGCCTGGAAACGTTTCATGCAGTCAACTTGAGAAGCCCACACCAAATCAGTAATTCGAATCATCAGCACGGTCCAGTTGATGCAACACCTATACGACGATGGCAGTTTTCTTACATCAGCATTGTGCTTGACACATTTTCAGCAGGATCGATGCCGACTGTGGCCCACGACACCCACAACGCATGGTGTTGGTTCTCGCTCTGACTTTGGGCAGCGCAGTGCAAGTTTGAGGCGAATAGGATTCGACTCAACCAGGTATGGATCAAAAATGGAATTGATTCCGATGACTGGATTCCGATGTAACGTATAGGGAATAACCAGCTCTTGAAAAAATGGCCTTCATAACATGGTAAACAGGGCACGTGTTTCAACAAAAACACGGCTATCTATACTTGCGGCTCATTTGGTGCGAATTTAAGGGGAGTGTTCCACATTTGCGTGGGGGTTTGAGCTGACATAGCTAAATTGCAGATCACTTGGTGAAGTTCATAACCCTGACCTCGTTAAGACCTAAAACCCTTTCATTTCAGAGCTCCACGCCCGCGAAAATGTGTAGACTATTTCAAGGTCATTCAGGCATGCATGACGCCGTGGGAACGTCATTCAAATCCTGGCACCTCACATGCCAGGCGGCGTTCAAGGCCAGGAAGAATATTCTCATCCAGCCGTTCACATCTGGCGTTCGTGAGTGCGAGTTCCAAATGACTCAAAAATCAAAGGGCTCGTCAACAATGCTGAGTACGCAGTGGTAAGCTTTAGCGACGAAACGCGTTTTGTGCTGCATAATATAAGAAGTCCGACACAACTTTTTCACTTGGTAGTTAGCACAGAATATACGACTTGTAATCGAATATCTTAAGAATAGCGATACAATCGAGTGTGTAGATACAAGTAAACGAATAATGTCATAACTGAGTGAGTGAATACAAGCAAGCATTTTGAATCCGCGAATAAACAAACAAGAACATCAGGACAGAGGGCCGAGATATGAACATGTGACAATATTTGGCTCCGCAAACACTTCCAGCCCGTGCTGCTATCCCTCGACGATGAAGTACTACAAATAAGTGAAATTTTCGCACGGCTAGTTTGGCAATATCTCAACGTCATGCAAACGCCACATGGCACAATCGAACAATGACACACCATCGAACATATTTACTGAAAATGAAACTCGTGTTGTCTACAGCAGCCTTTTTCTCTCAAAAGTACACCAATAGTTATAAGTGAGTATACCTCATCATATGTGACGCTTGCTTTAACATCTTCAACTGTCGAACATTCTCTTTCAGCTCCCTTGCCATTCAGACATCTCTGTGCCAACATTATCATGCAAACTGAACAACCAATTTGTTGACTTGACTTAGACCTGAAACTGCGGTTCGTTGACTCAAATCCAGTCCGAGTTTCAGTGAAATTACAAAGGTAAAACGATTTCCCTCAACTCAACGGAAAGATGGCCGACGCGGCAATCAATTCTGAGTCCACCTATCATGAAGTCCAGGTGTGCGTAACGTCATACACTGTCATTGTAATGGTAGCAAAATGTCGGCTACAAAGCGATTTCGCCGCCTCCTACTTGGATACTTTTGTCTTCTTCCTGACTCCTCACGTGCTAGAAGTCAGTCTCTGCACAATTTGTGTCACGTTCTTGGGACGTCCCATTTCTCCCATGCAATGATGCAAACCTGTCACAGTATTCAAGTAGTTTTCAACATCACCGGCAGGTGATTTGATGCTTCCACTTCATGTGTCATGATTTGCGGTCAGTTCAACAGTTTGCCCGTGCATACGACAGCCACACTTCATTCAAGGTCACACCGCCTGTGCAGGAGTTTACCTGCTTATTGGTAACCATGACCATAACCATAACTATGATAACCATCACAACCATTTACTTGCTTATTGATAACCGTTCATCACCATAGCCGTTGCTTATTGATAACCGACCCAAAGATTTTTTGTACCTTACTGACTTCACCGGAATGCTGACCTGGTGACAGTTTGATCCGAGTCACTTTACGACAGAGGCTGTCGGGGACACCCACCTGTATCTTGAACTGCGCCTCGAGGAACTTGCACCGCTTTTTTAGCGCCATAGACCGTTTCCGTTCCACGCGCTGCTCGTCAGCCAGCCTGGAGTGACGTCACAACATACCATGTGACGTAATGATGTCGGGTGGTGAGACGAAGCGCTACGACGATGTTCAGATGGAGAGTGACCAATCATGATTCACAACAGCACACCATCATAGCGCACATGCCCCGTCACCAAAATGCTTAAGCTTGATGCATTCATGTTATACTAGCAGTTGCCTAAAACGGGGCCAGTTTCATTGATAGTAAAAGTAAATATCCAGAGGTTGTGTGCATCAAAGTGATGCATCATGTATCGCAGCAACGAGCGAGAATTTATCGTATTGTTTATTCTTTGCACCTTACATCACGTTCGCTTAAAATTTAAAACACAGTACGTGCAGCTGTTAAACATAGAGCAAAACGCATATTTAGACTTTTGATACTCGAATGCACCTTTGGAGGTAAACAAATATCACTTCTTACGCCAAATATGTCGTCGGCAATTTTCCACTGTACATTGCCCACGCTTTATGCTGCAACCCAAATGCATTTAACGAGGCAAAGCTGGTTGAAGACCATATGGCTGGAGTCAGGATGCAAACAATCCCTTTGATGGTTGAAGTCGAGGGCAATGTCTTGTCTGGTGAACGTGCCGAAAGGAACATTGCTATCTCGCCATTGTCATGACATTACGTGGCTGGTCTGGTTGATTCGGGCTGCATGCAAGGACGCCATAGCACTTACGCTTTGCAGTCATTCAGGTCATTCAATACGCAATGACTTCAGATCGGCTCCAGATCAGCTTAGTTACGAGTGCTGTTACATGCCACGTATCACATTCGTGGTGACGACTGGCTGGTTGCCCACCAGTTCCCAAAATTCCTGCTTCACTGGTAAGCATTAAGCTACATTGAAGTGGTGGCAGTCACCCTCCCCACTAAACATATGGGTGTGGCATCCCCGAAGAAGCGTGTGATGACTGACCGGTCAGCCGACTTAAGTAGCTCCGCCAGCTGTACCGGGATGGCGGGGGTAATTTAGAGTTTCTTTTTCCTTAGTATTATGCTCATGCTCTTACGGCTTCATCCTTCATGCTTGCATTATTTCACTTCTTGTTTACATTTCCAGCACCAAATGATGATGGCAATGGCTGCCACTGATATCCACATTTTGTTCCAGACCTGTTTCATATGGCCCACCGCTTTCTTGAGCCTGCGCGTCGCTCATTCACAATGAAGTCACGCGAGCATCTGCATTCCCAAGTGAGCCCCACTTTTAAACTTCTGCTCGTGCACCATCCTCCGCAACAAACGGCTTATTTTGACCGGACCGATGTCATCCTGATCTCGAAACAGCCATTGCCCATGGGAACCTACCGTGATACCACATCCACTCGTACCCGCGCGACTGCCCATTGCCCGATGGCTGACTGTCCGAACACACCCCTGAATTTCGTTGGCAGCGCCAAGCTGGGCGGAGACACGCATGCGCATGTGACGTCATGAATAAATGCTCAGATGTCGCTTACGCAGATGCCAGATGCAAACTCGCCACTACGGGCGCGTGCAAGACCACGCGACATTCCGTTGAAATTGGTACGATAATTTGCTCAGGAATTGATAGACTGCTGGCTTCGCATCGCAGATCTTTCACGGCGGTCGATTTCAGTGACAATGTTTAAAATGTTTCGAAGCCTGTCAGCGCTCATGTGCTTGATCTAGTTTTTTTTGGCGGTGATCGCTCATTACACTAACCAGACCGCCTCAAGTGCACTGACATGGAAAGCTGTTCGAGCCCAGACCGTACGGCGTATTGAACTTCTCGTGTGTTACCACCACGATGCAAAACTGCAACACCTAAAACTTTAACTTGTCTCATGGCCTCAAACGTCAGAAATAAAACAAGAAAGTCAAATCGGCACGACCAGGCAATGAACATTACAATACAGGCATGAATCACCATGCAGGCATGAAGCTGTCAAGCGAGTGGGCCCTCGCACATGTTAACCCACAATCTATCGTCCGTAGCGTCTTCCCTAAGCATAAAACTGCTTCCAGGAAGTGCTCGAGAACTGTTGATACGGTCGCTCGCATCAACTGGGGCGTCATCACGGCTACCATTTCGCCGCATAGCAACCAACCATGCAGCATTGGTTTTGGCTTGATCCACCACGTACCGGCTTTCAGCAGCCCGGCACAGAGCTCTTTCGAGCTCAGCTCGGAGTGACTGCGCCTCGCTCTCAAGCTCTTGCCTGGCGATGCTGGCTGCGTGGCTGGTGGCCTGCATTGCAGACAGCTTGCCCTTGCTACTGGCCAGGTCCAGCTCCGCCTGGGGGCAACCGTGACGTCACACATTTCTGAGAGCGTGTCCTTATACTGAAGGGGATCGGCTCCATCTGGTGACAGCACTGACTTCACACTCCTCGGGTAAGGTGTTCTTGTTCTTACTACTGGCGAGACCCACCTTAAACTGGACACAGTAGTGACGTCACACATATAATGGTCAGCCTGTCTTTATTGCCGGCCAAGTCCAGCTCCACATGGGGAAGTAGTGACATCATCAATGGCTTATCATCATATGTAATAGGGATCATTTTTCCCGACTTCTGGCCTGGTGCAGATCCACATGGGATGGGTGCTATTAATTCTCTGGGATTGGGAAGGGGCGGGGGACATATCACGATTGGATGAGTTTAAATGAAAGTCGAGAAAACAATCTGACCTGAATGTTTCATTCTGAAACCACAAGTTCAAAAAGACGCGCATGCCACGAGGAAAATGGAGGTAACAAAATACTGGTTCGTGAAAATCAATAAAACATTTCTTCGCAGCGAGTGTACATGCTTTCTAAACACAGCAGTGACGTCACATTTATTTTTCAGGGTGTCTTTATTAACAGCCAAGTCCGCCTCCACCCAGGAATGGCAGTGACGTCACAAGTCTCATTTAGCGTGTCCTAAGCACCGGCCAGACCCAGCTTCGCCAGTGAACAGCAGTGAAGTCAAACAATATTGGTACTCGCGAATGTCAGTGGAAGCCTCTTGCATTAATCGGGGATGCGGAAAGAATTAAGGGCCAGTGGTATCGGTCAGGGCGGACAGCGCCTAACAGGGCATCCTTTGTCGGCAAGCAGCCCCGACGCAGCCATGGGCACATTTACAGAACAGGAGCTGGAACGGAATTGCGAATATCAGAGGACCTCTTGCGTTGGCCGGGGCGTCTGGCAATGAAAAGCAATACGTCAAACGCATATCAAACGGGGCAATAAGTGAAAACGGAATGACCCAAATACTGAACGGGGCCCTTCGTCCTGTTTCAGCCGCGAACCCGATAGTCGAACTGGGGTCCCTGTGCAATTAGTGGATTCATTCGTGCCAAACAGTGAACAGATTGTGGTCGCAAAATGTCCTCAGTAGTCGGCGCGCCCTGAAACCCCATCGTCATCATCATCATCATCATCCTCAATGAACAGACTAACATGTTTCACGAAAGCTATTCATGCGTCTAGGTGGTCACGCTTCTGAGAATCATGTTCACTAGGAAGAGAAATTTTAAGATTTGGGAGACAATTTGGTTTCTGGAAAGCAGCCATAGCCCTCATTTTTCTTAGGGGAAGGATACATGTCAGATATGCCTCTAACTCCTGGGAAGTTTGTCCTGCACAATCACCCGGTAGCTTTCGTTAATATTTTGCCTCATAGAAGCCATACCCATGTGAACCCGCCCTCGCGCTCCGTGCCCAAAGTTGGCCGACTTTTGTTCAGTCATTTTTTTACGAAGGTTTATGAAACTAGGCCCAGATCATGTCACTGAACTGAAAAGCCATGACACAAATGCCTGCGAGCACACTTATACCAATGAGCCTTTCTGAACTTCATGATATTATACTGGACTTCCACAGCAGAGAGCTATTCTCTCAGCGTACCAAAACACGTCCTCATTGAACTCCTTGCTTGCCTGCAGAACAGTTAGTTCTGCCAGCTAACAACTGATGTTTTAAAGAATCTAGGTGTATCTTCGGCGACGTCGCGCAGATCTATCGGCCAATATTCACTGATCTCTTGTGACCTCACTCTGACCCGTGACCTCGTGCCTACCTGGTGCCGGCTGCTTTCGGCCCGCTCCAGCAGAGCTCTGCTCTCCTCTAGCTGGACGCCAAGAGCGTCCCTGGCTCGTTCTGAGGCGTCCAACTGCGCCTGGAGCTCGGTCTTCACCCGGACCTCCTCCTTCAGGAGCGCCGTTGTTTCGCCGATCTCGGCCTGGTAGCGCCGCACCGCCTCCTGTTCTCCGGCAATCGACGCGTTGGCCGTGTTGAGAGCGGTCTCCAGCTCGTTGATGTCCTGCTCTAATCTCTTGAAGCGCTCGGCCTCGACGCAGTTCTTGGCCTCCTCCAGCAGCCATTCCATGGCCGAGAAGGTCTGCTGGAGCGTTCGGTTGGGACCTGGGTTGCCGACGTCCTCCCCGATCTGGTCCGTGATGTCCTATGGGCCATACGTCAGCTCAGGTCAGGCCACGTTCGGTCCCAATATTCGGCACCGGTCAGTTATTGGCAAGAATGACTGCTCGGTTCCACGTGCTAGATTGTACAGCGTACGATACACACCGGGCATGATGCAGGCAGGCGAAGTACCCTTAAACTAAAATACGAAGATTGAGAGGGTAAGCAAAGAAGCCCAATGCAAATGAGCTAGATAAAATTATTTCGTTGCGGCTCAGCCTGTGCCATCCGTTTGACATTGGCTTTAATTGCTGCAGGAATGTGGCTTCCTGCTGTTCTACCTAAAGATGGTTGTCGTCAATAGGGCCAAAGTTGAGCTTGCGAAAGTCATAGGTAACAGCAGAGAACGGCAGCATAACGGCAGACCAGCATATTTCCTCCAACGGCATTTCGTAATGGCTGATCATACCATCCCGACACACAGCTACAGCAGGCTACAGTTAGCGAAATCAGGACAGGCGGTCGTATGTGGCAGGAAATATTTGCTTTGCCAGAGGCACGGGAGAAAATGGGCAGCGGAAGCCTTCACCAGATCCAGAAGCTTTTGAACACCAGACAACATCAATCTATGTGTCGGCGAGCCTACCTCGTTCTTGCCGGACAGGACGTTGTTCTCGCGGCGGATAGAGGCGAGCTGCCGCTGAGACTCCTCATATGCAGCCTTCACTCGGAGCAACTCGCTACTGTAGTTGGCACACGCCTTCCTCGAGGCGTCCAGCTCGGCCGACAGGCCCTCCAGCCCCATCTCGCCCTCATTGCACGTCTGCAATGCAGTAGATAAATATCATTTGCTGCGTTTGCAGAGGAGTGGCCCGAGGTTATCATCCAATTTGTGTTGACAAGATGTTTTAAGGTTTTCCTACTTGGATATACCGTCAACTTCTCCACAAATCACAGCAAGCCCTTTGACTCATGCATGAAAATAACATTATGACTTGTTGAAGATTTGGTCCGAACACCCTCGAAAAGTTTCATTCAAAGCATACCACTGTGCATGTTAACGGGGCAATGAACGGCCACATTACCTTATTCCCAGCGTGAAATAACAACAACCTTGAAGGTCAAATTTTGGCGATGCTCGGCAATGATGATCACGAAGAGTTAGTGCTGAATGTCTTAGGTAGATTCAGTCTGTGCGAAAGGAACGTACCACCCATGGAACCCCGCATTTCACAACGTTCCGAAAAAAACTCGTCGCCTATTTTTGCCCTACCTGGGGTTAGCCTGCTACGTAATCCACCAGTTGAAAGCTTGTTTCTGAGAACTCCTAATCCTCGCGATGGTACAAAGTTCTAAGCAGACAGTCATAAGACGTTCATGGTAAGGGCAAAATGGTGCGTTGGAAATGAGTTACCATGGCGAAGCGGAACACATTTTTCACTGGCGTGAAGTGGGCCATCCATGCCCAGAATCCTAGGACGGATACATGAAACAATAATGACGCACCCATGTCTGCCTTCTCAGCGGCTCAGGTCAATACCAGCCAAGATTTCCCCACCATACTCAGCATCGGGGATAATCGTACTTTAAATACAAGGCGGTTTTGGAAACTTAACCTGACACGTCGTTGGTATTGAATGACCCTTGTGCCACCATTAGCATAACAGTTATTGCCGCTAATGGCGTTGGAAGGCGCGTTTCATTTATTTTGTATTTTAATTTTTAAGACTCAACCTAAAACAATCGCTGCCTGGCATGCCAACGAAGGCGTTGTCAGCAATGGGGACGCTTAGCGTAAAGCCTCTTCATGCTTTGGGAATGCACTTTACAAGCAAATGCCGAGCCCATAGAACTAATCATATGTTGCGAAACGCAGATTTATTGGTTCTCAGCCAGCAGAGCCCTTAAACTGAGTTCAAAGGTCTGATTCGGCTTCAGCTTACAGCTGTAAAAGTACGGCATATGAGGAGCAGTATAGCAAACAGTAGTAGTCCGTGGCGACTGCTCAGTTGGTTTGAGCGCCGGTGCTTCGGCTCACTGACCCATGGTGGGGTGGGGTCGTGTCGCTTTATACGCTCGCTATTTGTCACTGACTTGGATTGCCTTTGGCTTGTGAAAGCAGCCGCACAAGAGGCCTCAGGACGGAACGTACGCAGTGTTGTGGCACGTTGAACTTTGCCACCAAATTCTGTCACTGACCCCAAATTTCTGCATCGGACGGAGAGATCATGGCTACCACGCGCTGCTGAGCATAGGTTCTGATCCCAGAATTATGTTCATTGAAAAGGTTCGGACATAAAGAAATGAAAAATTGCATTTTCATTCACTGACAACGGCAGCACTGATGGTGCGACCACGCGCTGTGTCAACAGGGTAAGCTTACCCAGTTGGTGCTCTCCGAGTTTGGCCGAGTTGTGATCTCGGATGTATGATCACTGGTCGTCACTTCATCATCTGAGTTGGACGCTTCCATAGTGCGGCAAATGGCAACGGCGCTGCTGAAACTTAGATTCTTCTCAGACAACAGTCTTCTTTGCATTTGATCATCTGCTATTCCGAAGATGAGCTGTTCCAGCAGCCTGTCCCCGAGGGTATCTCCAAAACAGCAGTCGTTGGCATTTTGGCGGAGAACAGCAGCGTAGTCAGCGACTTGTTGGCCAGCGCGACGGACGCGCGAGCCGAACTTGCGCCGGCTGATGGTGACTGAAAGGTCAGAATCCTCCTGACCTTTCATAACCAGAAGCAACTCTACAAGAGGTACGTCCATCGGCCTCCGAGGTGCAATCAAACTGCGAAGAACAGCGTATGCCTTTCTGCCACATGCCGCCAGGAATGCGACTTTTTTCTTCCTCTCGTCAGTGATGCCGCTGTACTCGAAGAACAGCTCTAGGCGCTCCTCCCACTCTGCCCACGAGCTCGAGTCGGGGTCGAACGGCTCGATGTGTTGATTTAGCGGAGTCATATCTGATGAGGCAGCCATGGTAAGGGTTCTGAAACGGAAGGATGTCATGTTCATTGCGGACAAAATACAGAACATGACGTTCATATGCAACACAACATGACAGAAGCTTGAATGGGAGGCACATGTGGCTACAGGTAGTTCCATCCAAGTCTATTTGCCAGCCATCATCGACGGCAAGCACCATAGTCGTGGGGTTGGGTGCATACTTGAGGAACATTCCCTCGCAGGCAAGCACGGCGGCCGGAGCGAAATACTGCTGTGGTAGTTATACATCTACTGGTGTTTCCTACTGGTGCGTAATCGAACCTATTCGACTCATCTGTACCTTCAGGCAAATAAGATCACCCAGCTCCCAAAGATTATCCATCCGTTTCAACATTGTTTCCCCCGGGCAGGTGAAATTTCACGAGCTGGTAGGCATTCTAGGTCACTGGGAAGGTACCTGCCTCCAAAGTTTAGATTTATCAATACTGCATTGGCACAGCATCGTCAAAAATTGCAAATTCTTAAACTGACCCATGGTGCGTGGCAGTTTTCGTGCGCCTGAATTTCATCGGCTGCTCTTCAAGAGACAGGCGTTTGCTGCAGAATTTTAAGCAGCAACAAATTCGAAAGCTTAAGATAGTGTCTGGCAAAACCATTTGACAAAAGCCTTATCATATGACTGATTTATGTCAATCTTATGGACAAGCATCACTGATTATTAGTGTGTGAAGCCGATGAGCTGTCTGCTACAGTTCCTCTTCGCGAAATCATCCCTCACACCCCACGACAGCAGCAAATGTACTTCCGGGAAACTGTCTGTCGTGGGCATGAATTGGTCCAACGGGCATGCATTCCCCATCCTCCAACGTAGTCGACTTCATCTGTTTTTGTATATAGGACGACCATACACACTTCTGTTAAACAGGTTCTGTGCCTATATCTGTCCTAGGCGTTTAGCGTAAGCCGGTATTTTATGCACAAAGTTGACGTTTCATATATTGTCGGCTTGTTATGCCACTTCTGTGAAATATCATCCTTGTGCGATCTAACTGAAATCCTAGGCGCTGTTTGAAATGCCCACCAGGCTGCGGGCACTTTCTGTAATCACAATTATTACCTCATTTGCCTGACGAATACATAATACTCCTCTATATTTCATGGAACATCGTAAATAAAGACTGACTTACCCGTGCACAGAATGCGTTGAATTGCCATTTCGTGTTTGATGTTGAATGAGATGATCAATGCTGTAAAGTTTATTGTTGATTTAACCAGTTAAGGCTGTTTTTATAGAAATTTCCACCGAACATGTTAATTTAGCGCAGATGACCACTGTCTCCACTCAAATACGTTCAATAGCTGGCCCTGTGTCTCACTGTAGAGACTTAAAGGCGCAATAACATAAACAGAAAGAAAATTTGTCGTCACTTCTTCAGGCCTCATTAACGCACTTGTTATATCCTTCCGTTGCCTTAAAAAGCGATGAGCCGGCGGGCCTCGGCCAGTCTTTTGCGTTGAGGAGCAGGACGCCTAAGGCAGTGCGTGAAACCGACTGTAAATCCCAATATCAAAATAATCTCGATTATTTTTGGTCCTTGCTACCTTCTAAACGTCACATAACGTTACTCACCTGACATGAACACTAGTCATCTTTTCCCGCCACAGGTATTCGGGTTAAAGCTGGTTGCGTCAGGAGGTCTGATGGCATCTTGTACATCAATCTGGAGTTTGACCTTGCTTGACCTTATCGAACCCAAACGACATGATCAAGCTCAAAATTTGATGCAAATGAACCACACATAACCCTACTTGCTCTCTTAGTTTTCTGTCACTAGCTCTCTGAGTTTTCGGGCCTCAGGGGGAAGGGGGGGAGGGGGCATTGATACCCACCCTACCTGAGCGCCCCGCTTTTAAACGGCCAGCCGGGTGCGTTTTAAAGCTCCTGGGAGGGCGGGTGACTGATGAGATCTTATTCTAAGAAATCAGCGCTCAGAGCGGCTTCAACAAACAAGCAAGCAACGGCCGGCATGTGTGACTGAAAAGCCGATGTCGAGCATAAAGCAACTAAATCTTGTAAAGCGAGCACGATGTCACCAGACACATCTCGCAATGTCCGTGACAGGGCATCTCGTTCCAGACTGTGTCAACGCTCGTGTGCAGGGGAAGTGGGGAATCCGACCCGAATGCGAAATTCTACGAAGTTAATGTAGTGCCGCTGCATCCGCAGCACTGCACTCCAGTGGCGCCTGTTCATCTCACCAATGTATGTACACGCCAAAGGCTTTACTATACACACATTTTAGCGGGCCCGACGCGAGCTGTAATTATCATTAGAAGCACACTAGATACTAAGTAAGAGGCGCCGCTGCTATTTGGCGATACTCGCCATAAATATCAGCCAATTAAAGCAAGCCCCACTCTACACGGGAGGGGCTGGCTGCCCACCTATGTCGGATCCAGTGTGATATGTTTGATATTATTTTTATTCTAACACATCATGTGAGCGAATCCCAACCGTTAGAAATGTCAAGAACATTGTGTTTCTTAGTGACCTTCAATTACCGCTACTTTTGCAAAGGATCATACATCACGCCCAACAAGCACTGTGAGTGCCGCTGCTTCTGAAGATGAACTTTGAAATTGTTCATGATGAAATATCAGCTAACGTCACCATAACACTCGCCATTAGTTCCACGCCTGTCACTCACTGAGTGCGCCGCTACAATATCGTGCAGTTAAATGGAGTTTTCCACATTTGTTTGCGAGTTTGAACCGAAATAGCCGTCTTGAAGACCAATCGGTGCAGTTCACAGCCATGTGCGTCTTAAAATTTGAATCCCTCTAGGTTTTTAGCTATACGCCCGCGGAGACGTGTGCACTTTTCGAGATTATTTCAAGGTCACCCAGGCATCCATGAAGCCATGATAACTTTATTGTAGCTCACTCATTCATTCAAGCCATTCATTCAGTGGCTCCATTGGCCTTGCTCGCCACATGCTCCGCGTTCGTGAGCATGATTTCCAGGTAAGACCACCGTCAATTGGCTTTTAATGAATGTCGTGCATGGCAGGATGACGCGACCAGACAACGACGCATTGAGAAGCATCTTTATCAAATGGAGAAAATGTGTTGTGTAGGGCAGTGTTTTTCACTTAAAAGTATACCAATGGTTATAGGTGACGTTATTTCATCATATCTGATGTCGGCTGTTATATCTTCAAATGTGAAACATTCCCTTTAACATGGCATGCATGGCCTGGAACGGGCCGACGGCTCTCACATGGGGAGACGTACACCGGTCTGAACACCAAAACCAAAGGCCATTCACCACGGCATTACCCACCCAAGGTGTACAAGCGCTTTCAATGTACGTGGTTATGATATCATTTATGGCAGAAACTATTGGAATGCCCATCATAGCCTTGTTAAACTTAGCATTTCATATGAAACACCTTGCAGTTTTGCATTCTCTTATAGCGGTACAGGTTGCAAAAGACATTATTAGTGGTTATTTAGATTTTGGGTTAGCGAAAACGTCTCATGAATAATCAAAAGTCTCCTACTCTGTTTTTTACCGCTGACATTTATTTCCTAGGATATTATGCCCGCAGCACTTTGGTAAGGGGGATATGACCTAGGTGCCCCTCCCCTTGAATACGACACCGCGCAGAATGACCCCTGTGAGGAGGCCCTATTTTGTCCAGAAGGCCCCTGAAAAATACTGCTCCCCCCCCCCCCACAAACCCCGTGGCTTCGCTCCTGTTGGTAGGTGCGCATATATACTCACCAGTCAGGCGGAATTATATGATAAGCATGAGTATGTATTTTGCTAGTCGACATTCAGCAGTCATTAAAATTCAATCAGCGCTCAAAGTGAAGCTGCTGCTGATGTTTTCTTCCGAACAAGTCGGACTTCTCTGGCCTAACAAAGTCACCCCAATCTGATTCGATATGCTACAGCAAACGCTTATCATATGACGGTCTGTATGAATCAATCAGTGCCAGTAAATTTGAACATAAAACGACCGCAAAAAGATCCATGGTCACTAAACGCCGTTGAATAACGCCACCGCAACCCAGAATCCCACAAGCACAGACCGCCAGCAGACAGACAGTCTGTTGGCAATGCTCACCTTGGTAGCGCGGCTCGGTGGGCAGTTGTGTTGCCTGGCTCGGTGACTTGCTGCCTGGCTCGGTCGGTGACTGTGCTGCCTGGCTCGGTGACTGTACTGCCTGGCTCGGTGACTTGCTGCCTGGCTCGGTGACTGTGCTGTCTGACTCGGTGCCTGTGCTGCTTGGCTCAGTGGCTGTACTGTCTGGCTCAGTCGATGACTGCTGCCTGGCTCGGTGACTTGCTGCCTGGCTCGGTGGCTGTGCTGCTTGGCTCAGTGACTGTGCTGCCTGGCTCAGTCGATGACTGCTGCCTGGCTCGGTGGCAGTGCTGCCTGGCTCGGTCGGTGACTGTGCTGCGTACCGTGGTTCCTTACTGTATTGCGGCGGTGCGCTGGTCGGTGCTCTCTCCGCGGTGGTCCCTATCGAACTGCTTAAGACGTACCGTGCACCCCCAGTCAAAAGCAGCCGGCATATCGCAGCGGCGTCTCAAGAGGCCGATAACACCGCGGCGCCACGGGAGGCCCAGCAGGGGGTCTGGCAGACGGACGGAACTACGCAGCGGTCCACTTGGCCATGACGCTGGCACGGTGAACTTTGCTACCAGCGCCTTCGCCGGATTCGCCTCCTTTCGCAGTGTATGCATCTGGTCCGGCCGGCTCCCTTTAAAAATTGCTCACCGATGTGTTCGTGGAAAA